GCGCCAAGTGGTGCAGTACTTAGAAGGGGATGTTCCTTTATCGGACTTATCAGCACTAGGCCTGACTGCCAGTGGCCTAACGTTTGCCCATGGCGGGACCTATCCGTCTTCCATGGATAAGGCATACACGCATTCCTCTTCAATTGCAGAATCCCTACTTTCAGGAGGTCGATGAACCTTAAACTTTTGTACGGAATATATTGTTTGTGTTTTTCTCTATATGGTTGTTACCAGAAATGTTCAAGTCGCTTCTCTCATTGTGCAAACAGGTAAAGCTACATGCTGTTGTTTTTTTTTTTTTTTTGAATTAAGACCATTAGCGATGACTGGGTTCCATGCAGCTTTAAAGTCTAAAATTCTGACAGGCTTGGTAGGCCAGAACTATAGTGAGTTGGGTTCGAAAACTTTCAAAAAAGGATGTGTGTAATAAAGCATACGAGTTTAACTTTTTTTTTTTTTTTTTGAACATGAGCATACGAGTTTAACTTTTCTAATAAAGAACAGAAAAGTGAATTTGAAATCAACCTATAAGAATAAAAGAGTATGAATACTTAGTGGAATTATTTAACTACGTTAGTAAAGTAACTCTAATTACGTTAGTAAAATAACTCTGAGTCTGAAGACATTTTTAAACTTTTTTTACTAGAACTTAAAAATCTGCCATCCCAATAGAAATTAAAAAGAAAATATTTATGATTCAAACCTATAAGAAAACATCCTGGAAATTATGTGATTTCCATATATTTAGTAGTTTATTAGTAACTTTTTTCTGTTAAAAATAAAAAATTTTGAATTCAAATAGCATAATATATCGTTAGAGTGGGGTAAGAGATGGAAAAAGGAAAAAGATTATTTTCAATTGTACAATCAAGATAAAAAATATTTTTTTATCAAAAAAAATAAAATATCGTGTTTTTAAAGTGAGAATGAAATTATTTTGATACTTTTTTATGATATTTTATTAAAATATATAATTTCAAAATATTTTTCCTCATAAAGTTTTAAAAATTTGATTAATAAACACTAATATCTAAAGAACGTATTTGTAGAAATTCAATCAAACAAATACGAAATATCAAACCATATTATGTAAAGGCAAAAGGTGCAGATCAGCCCCTAAACTCAACAACTGGTGGCAAATCACCCCCTCAACCCACTTCACGCGCAAATCAGCCCCTCAAC